GAGCTTGCTGTCCGTGATGAGAGGAAGCCGATGATACCCAATTTTAAGGTCCTAGATCATTGGTTGACCTTCCAGGTCAGGTGAATTACCAAAAGTCGGGAAAATCGGAACCTGTTAAAATATCGTAAAATGAGGTTGCCATGGGGCTTTTCGGGGTGCTTATCACGAATTTCATGCTAGTTTTGATCACAGACGATTTCTTCATGCATTTAGGCCAGGTCGGGTCAGGTCAGGTCAGGTCAACCAGTATGCGACCTGCCGGGTATTCATAGTAGGTGTCAACCGCTACTGACAGCCTCGTAACATGATACGAAGGCACCAAAACCACTTCGTAAATGCTCAAATGGTTGCTAAATTCGAAATCAGCTCCAAAAACTAGCCTAGAAACATGTAAAACTCGAAAAAGTGAACCGAGGTCACTAAAGGTCAATGACATGACCTGACCTTCAGGTGACCTTGACACCCAGTATAATGCATGGAACCAACATCATTTCACATGGTTGAACGTTCGAAACCACAAAAAGACTGCAAACGCGCGGATAATGTGAGCCGACATACCTACGCCGAATCGCGATTCCGGCCAAACATGGTCTCGAGAAATAGGTCACAGGTCAGAGGTCATTTGGGTCAGGGCCATGAAATTTTCAGTGTAGGTGTAAAATTGATTAATTCGAATGTACTTAAAGTTTCGTCTTGATTGGCCTTTTTTACGCGAGTTATTCGCAAAAAACGAGGGTGTCCGTTCGACCCTCTATAAGTCCGAGGGTTAAGGTTTTGAGTCGTTGACCTCGAGTCAAAGTCTGGTCAGAGTCCCTCAGGTCACGAACTTGGTCAAAGGAGGTCGACTGTCTAACTTACTTTGTTCCGGAGTTATTGACGGAAAACTAATATGGCCCTAGTGACGTCATAAATGACGTCATGCAAGGTTAGCAATGCAAAGGTGTAGCACCGTACCTTGCAGGGAGCACATGTAACCATGATTCCATGTGCTTGAGATAGTTTTAGATCATTCCTGACACTAAAATAACAGTTTCCATATTTCCCTCGTTGACTTATAAAGGTGAGATCACGTGACCGACCTGACCGCATGTGAACTTTAGCAAAAAATCCGAGATATGCAAGTTGTGAGACCTCGGAGTATTCTATACGTCCCCTGTGAACGTCCCTCTGGCAGTGAGGGCGTTGCGAAGTTGCGACATCTGAAGACCGTGCAGAGGTTCACTTATGACGTCATAGGTCAGCGACGTCATAAGTGAGCCTGACCTGACCTGACCTGACCTGAAAATGCGGTTGATTTAACAAGATCCGGCTTGAATCAAAGGTCAAGTATGCCAAGTTTCAGCTCTTTATCGCCGGCGTGTTGTGAGCTACCGCGTTAAAACCTACAAGGGGCAGCACCCCCCCCCCCTCGGCCTCGGGGGGGGGGGCGTGGCTTATGCAGAATTTCCCATTAACTCATGTGCAACACTTCTCAATTTTTTAGGAAACAAAATGTGTTTGAGTTTTCGCGAGACCAGACCGGCCGGATCGCCCACTGTGCATCGCCTGAGGCCTTTCCGGTCACGTGACAGCTTATCCTCCGGTCAATTAGAATGCTTCTGACCCACGAGATAACACTGGCTGGTGTTACTGTCATCACTTGAAATAATATAAGCTAAAATGCAGGCTGATTTGTTCGCTCCCGTCACTATGGAGCTAATAAAGGCTAGACAGCGTATTGCAAAATGTTGCATAACAGCAAATGGCGCAAGTTCGCGCACTTTTTTATTGCTTGGCCGGTTCAATAACATCACAATGCACATTGTGACACACGATTTAGAGCGGGACCTGGGGGAACTCAAAAGATCGGCTTTAACATAGTGAGTGATATTCATTTTAAGCATACAAAATAACTCGATGATATGTTTATTAGGGTGGCCATTTTTTTGCAAAGTACACGGAATCACCGCTCCTAGCCTCGATTCTGATGCATTTTTTCATGCTGATTCCGAATCCGTCGAGAAAAATGAAAAATTCGTAAAAAATTTGACCCCTGGACGTCCTTGAAGTTTTTGGATAAAGTGAAAATATCGACGTCTCACTGTCTAATCGAAAGTTGCGTTGTGTTTAGACTAAAAAGTTCATATGAACGTGAAATATGGTCTGTTGGCGTCACAATGCCGCTAAAACCAGCAATATTACTCATTTGGTTTAGCAACAGCGTTCAATAATATCGGCACCCTTTGGGGCAATCTGCCTCTGATGGCGAGTATCGAACTAATAGTGATACACGTCTGCCTGTAGGTGGCAGCACTGTTCTCCAACCTTTGATTCTTTGATAGGTCATTGTGATATCATCAACACGTTTTATCATCATGTTTTCCTTGCCAAAAGATACAATAACCATTAATCTGATTGTCTGAAAGAAATTTCAAGCATCAGTGTGTCATTTTCCTTTCCTAAATAATGTTTAAAATGAGGTAAAATAAGGTAAAAGCAAACAATGTGAATGAAACGGTAATAGGCCAGGGTAAACACGATTACACAAGGAATCGTGTACGACAGGTTAATTTCGTTCAGTAGCATACACGGGACGGGATGCACCTAGAAGCTCAGCGAGCCCCACCGGCATTTGGTTGGGTCGTAAGACCCTTATGACTTGATTAAACCCAGCTGCCGGCCCGCAGTGATGTCGTTGGAAGATTATGCAATCGTAGACTAGAGCCGATGGCGTTGTGCGGCACTGATGTGTCACGGACCAATAAACCCCATCATTTAACAGGTCACCGGTGAAGTATTATGGTTATGCACTTACTTGCCTGCCCAGCGCATTGGTGGCCAAAATCATGAACTGTCGAACAATAGGCAAGATCGCTAAAGCGTCAGACTCTAACAACTGCACAATCTGAAGGGACCAGCTCGCTGTTTGACAGCGCACCGGAATTAGTTACCGAAATATCCCGAGGATTTGTCCTTCCTCGCAGATCAGCTCGGTGCCAGGCATTAGCACATCGGCCAGTAGCTAGGCAACAGCGGGATACTGGAAAGGACAGGCGAAAAACCGGCAGCGCTGCTCCTCTGCTCTGTGCCGCTGCTCGGCAGAGTGAGACACCCTCCAGTGGGCCTTCTGCCTCGCTACATTTACACTTCCTCTGCGGGAATTCGCTCATTGTGGCTGGCAGTGAATCCGGTATAGTTAGGCGACAGGTCGGGTCCGCTGAAAAACAGCCAGCAAGGCCGTCTCCGACTTGGGCCGCTGTTCTCATGAGGTCAGTGTCTGCAGCGACACGGTCTCCGCGGCGCCGCGGACGGCAGTTTCACACCCTCCAGACAAGCAAGGAAGCGCGTAACCATACATTAACTTCATCGGAGACATGTTTAATGATGGGCTTTATTGGTACGTGATACATATCAGTGAGGTGAGGCACGACGCCATCGCCTCTAGCTTGAGAGTTGAGCTTGCATAATCTTCCAAACACATCACTGCGGGGCGGCAGCTGGGCTGAAGTCAGGTCACAGGGTTTTACGACCACTTGCCGGTGGGGCTCGCCGAACATCTATAGGTGCATCCCCTGCATGACACTAAACGAAATAAGCCTGTCATAAACGATTCCTTGTGTAATCGTTGCTTACATTGCTGGGGCATTGCCGTTTCACCCAGATTGTTTGCTTTTGGTTAGAAAAGCCTTATTTTAGACATTGTTTAGGTAAGGAAAATGACACACTGATGCTTGAAATTTCTTTCAGACAATCAGATTAATGGTTATTGTATCTTTTGGCAAGGACAACATGATGATAAAACGTGTTAATGATATCACAATGACCTATCAAAGAATCAAAGGTTGGGGAACAGTGCTGCCACCTACAGGCAGACGTGTATCACTATTAGTTCGATACTCGCCATCAGAGGCAGATTGCCCCAAAGGGTGCCGATATTATTGAACGCTGTTGCTAAACCAAATGAGTAATATTGCTGGTTTTAGCGGCATTGTGACGCCAACAGACCATATTTCACGTTCATATAAACTTTTTAGTCTAAACACAACGCAACTTTCGATTAGACAGTGAGATGTCGATATTTTCACTTTATCCAAAAACTTCAAGGACGTCCAGGGGTCAAATTTTTTACGAATTTTTCATTTTTCTCGACGGATTCGGAATCAGCATGAAAAAATGCATCAGAATCGAGGCTAGGAGCGGTGATTCCGTGTACTTTGCAAAAAAATGGCCACCCTAATGTTTATCTCTCATGCTGCTAAACGATTTTCGCAACCTCATTTTTCGTTGCGCGGAATTGATCGTTGCATGTCACAGAACAACTCATAAAACCATTTTCGTGTAAAACTCACGCACATAGGATCCCCATGGCATCTACTTTTACTCTTCAAACACCCGAAAACTATGACTTGTCTACGGCCTAAGAAATATTTGTGTTTGAAGCCCCTTTCACCCTATACCAAGTTGTTGCATGACCGGTCAATGGCCATTTATATAATGTATGGACATTTTGTAGTCGATTGGTATGCTTTTTGTTTTCATAAAAGCAAAATAATTTTTTGGCTCCGTAAGAGGCTAGACCGGCCCGAACGCCTACAGTGCGCCGGGAGCCACGCTGCTGCCGCGTACTCCAGGGCGCCCCGAACGTATCCGTTGGCAACGGTCCGTAGTTGCGCCTCCTGGAGGCCCCAGCTGCGACCGGTCAGCTTCCTCAGCTGAGCCGTCCTGGGCTTCACTTTCCGGCGCAGGTTCTTGCAGTGTTCCCCGAAGTGCAGGAGTCGCAGCCCGACGTCGCAGCCCGGGCCGGCCGGCTACTCGCGGGTCCAGCGGGGATGGGGCTTGTTTGGCGAGGAACGGAGCCAGGAAAACCATCACACATTCGAATACAGAAAATAACTCAGAATTCGCTCCCTGCACACCCGCTTCCTCCCTGACGTGGGCCGCTTTATTCGCTCTTTTACATACAGCTGTTGAGCAGCTCCGGGACACCCTCTAGTTTCTTTGGTATTTTACTCTTGTCTGTTCCGAGAACAAACCGCAGCAGAACACACGCTGTGTTTTCAACCTTTCGGTTCGTTTTCTGAGCGTAGACAGCGAATGAAGCGGCCCACGTCAGGAGCTGTTCTACCTTTGTGGTACCACAAAGTCTGCATACTTCAATGCCCTCCACGAAGAGTGCATCGTCGCACACGCTGGGGCCTCTCTCGTTGGGGGAGACCGTGTAAATTTGGTCTTCCTCTTGGAACATCGCCAGAAGGTGCCCGGCCGCTTCATCTGCAAAGTGAAACAACACAAATTAAATGTTGGCCTGATTGACAAGGGAGTGATTGAGGGACGGCAGAAAAGTAGCAGGCGGGAGGAGGGCGGGTGGTGAGCGTGAGAGGGAGGGGGGGGGGTAAAGGCAGTGGGTGGCATGAGACGTTTCGAAGCAAGATAAGCTTTTTTTCTCTTTTTCTATTTCTCTGAAACAGTGCCAGCTGCGATAGTGAAATTTTAACACAAAATCAATCACGTACATGTACAAACAAGAGCATGGAACGGTATGCATGCTAGGCGCGCATCTTCGTGGGGGTTCACCGAAGAACGCTGAGCTGTTAAGTGCTGTAACCTGGCGGCGCGCCGCATGCCGATGGGGATACCGCTGCTGCCGCAGGTGACAGGTCGAGAAGCTGACCTGCCCTGGTTCGAAGCAGCGGTTCGGCCGAAGTGAGGAGGGTGGCGTGGCAGGCGTCCGTACCAGCCGCGCGTTGGTGGTACTTAGCAGCGTTTTTTTTTTTTAAGCGTGGCACCATGAACATACAGCGAATCGATTCCGGCTAGTGCAATTAGCGATATCTTCGAACAAAATCGTCCAAAATAAAGGATGAAAGAGTATCTGCTCGTACTTACCTAGGGTGCATTTTAGTTTCTGCTGCAGTGGCAGCAATATTTCTCCGAACCTCTCGATAGACCTTTTGAAAAGGTCATCGCCGCCGCCGGGAGATGCATCACCTTTGAGTCGGGCCAGTTCAGCCCAGAGCTGAAAATGGTGGATCTTGATAAACCATCATGCATTCCATAGAAACAATCGCGAAATGTAACACGAGAAGCAGGTTGTTATTTTCTACAAAGAAACTGTGTGCTAGCAATGGCACTGTTCAGAAAGCCAATTGGTGCGCGATATTCTGACCAGTGTCTTCCTTTCACCCGAGCGGGAAATGGCACGTTGGCGGCAAGATTACAAAGTTAAAGCACACCCCATAGCCGAACACGAGTCGCCCGCTAAGTTATTGACTGCAGCTGACGAAACTACTGGCACTGGTCTCAGATCGTCCCGCCAGGATCGCCAGTGATAAAACCAGTGATAAAAGCGTCAAAGTGACTCAAAACACGCTCTCACTTCCGGCTGTGTCAAATGATCAGTATCTCGCCACGCACTGCACTGGCACTGGGAGGGCACACTGGATATTGAATAGGATTGCAAGTCCCATACACGCACCTGACGCTTCGAGAGGAGAAGCGGATACCGGTCGAGCAGACTTCTCAATGTCTGCTTTCGCGACCCGATCAGCTGGTGTGGTGCCGACGGTCAGCCAGGGTGTCAGACATGGCTTTAGCCACCTGAAGACAAACAAATTACATGTTTTACAATGCAATGCAGATAGGGAACGAGAAACTCAAATGCAACTACCACCTACTCAGCTTCCGAGTTATGTCGATGACCATTAACTATTCATGCATTGATGTGACCGTGGACCCATTATACCCCAGGCTTGGCAACACCATGCTGGGCAATACTGACGCGAAAAGCAAGAAAAGCGTAACTGACATACGCAACAATTTTACACTCAACATGTAAAATGCAGTCCCGTTGGGTGTCAGTGTTTTTCTCGCTTTTCACGGCAGAATACTACTCATTGCCATTTACTTATAATCAATAGCGATCGTTTACCCATAGAGCCATGCCCATCTCACGGTTGTGCTCGACTCAAAACTGTCTTGTGTAAAAAAGGTGACAGTCTACCTTTAAGGATGAAACGCGGGTAGGTCAGCTCTAGGTCGGCTCAAGTGAAAACTGTCTTGTGTGAAAAGGTGACAGTGCTTCTTCAGAATCAGGGTTAAGTTTATCTAGAACAGTTAAGTGTTCAGTTGAGACAGAGATCGGTGACCCTGGATTGTCACGTGTGTTAGAGTTAACCCGGCAGTTGCTGGGGTATTTCGCCACCCACCGTTTGCTGGGGAGGGGCGTTAAACGCCCCCAGCCGATAACTCGAGAACCAATAGGCGCAGCGGAACGCACGAGGCGGCAAACGAAAGAACGCGACGAGACGCTTCAGATGAGTACTTTAAAGTTGAATTTTGAGGTCACAGGTCGGGTCAAGGTCAGGTCAAACACCTGAAATCGGGCTTTCAATAGCATGGACTTCAGGACTTCGCAATGAGCGCCTCTCGTCATAAACTCTGTCAAAATGGTGCACAATCCATCATATAAGGCCTACAAGAGTGTCAGCCCCATGTAGGGGTCAGTCAAGCATAGGTCAGGGTCAAGGTCAGGTCAACCGGGTAGGCACATATCCCCAAAAATCAAAACTGATATTCGCAGCCTGTGACACATGTTTTATGGGTAATTTGATGCGTAGAACACGATGGTGACATTCATTTTATCATATGTGTACGTGTTTGGCTCAAAAAGTTCAATTTAAGAAATGCATGTATCATGGTCGTGAAGTAGTTACGAGAAATTGCCAAGATTCAGATCAAGATTTTGGCAAATGTGAAACGATAATCAATAATCGAAGATAGCCATTGGATTGTTCATGGTATTGGCAGTCTAATGCCGTTTACGGCATGTCTGTATGTCTATTCTGTGATTTTATATGATTTTTTGAACATATACCGTTTTTGGTCGAAAACTCAGAAATCATGACGTCACTAAAACCTCGATATCTCAAAATTTTTCCAACCGATTTTTTTGAAATTTTGTCACAATAGACTTCAATCAATTCCCCACAGGTACCCAAAATTTGGCGCGCCTGCGGCGCGCCGTTTTTATGCTATGGCCCGGCGAAAAAAGTGGGGGCGTTTAACGCCCCCCCCCCCAGCAACTCGCGGGTTAAGGCAGCCCGAAAAAAAAAAATAAACGAGGCACAACCTTGGCCCATTTCTGTTCAAAGGCGTGATGTTGAAACTAACACCTAACGATATTTTTTGGGCATATGATTACACACCTCTTCCTGCTCCATCAACTGTCCTTCGTCCTTCATCTTCCGTACAGTAGCTTCCATGTGGACGAGGTTGACGTGCGACTTGGGCGGCAGGTAGTTCACCATCGGTGTAGTTCGCTTTCTGCTGGTGACGCTTTCGGAAAGGGACCTCTTCCTTGAGTTCTTGAACTTGTTTTTGATCGACTCTTTCACGAACTTCTGTGGATATACCCGGAAGAACCATTCGTGGCAATCAAATATCACTTGACAAACCCGTACATCAGTTGTTATTTGCGATGTTCACAAATACTGGGTCATAGTTGGATTCGGACGAAGTCAGTATTTTTAGACAGTCGTTTAGTTCGATTTCAAGTGTTGTGTCGACCTAAACCCCGGCTGGGACGACCTGGGTCACGGTATCCACATCGCCACCAGCACTATCACCGCCATCATCATCATCATCATCATCATCAGCAGCAGCAGCAGCAGCAGCAGCAGCAGCAGCAGCAGCAGCAGCAGCAGCATACACCTCTGGCACCCCTCGTATGACATGTGGGCACGGCAAAAGTTTTGATACACACTTTTTGTATTAAATAGAGGCAAATTCGTCCACTTCGCGGCCAAATTTTGCTTTTTCGTTGAACTGATTTTTCCTGCGAATGGTTTCATTATTTTGTCCCGTGGCGCTGAAAGAATGAGGTGAATCACCACCGCACAACTAAAGAAAAAGCTAGGCGGGGTTCTTGGGTGGGGCATAACAGATTTTGAAACATTCGTGGGCTGCCTTAACTCCGACTCATGTGACAATCCAGGTCACCGATCTAGAGTTTTAACAGGTCTGTTGATCCCCTCCTAGCGTTTGGAATGGTACATCTGCTATTCGATGGATTCGTGTTCACACGCTGTTCAATCAGTACCTACAGTTTAACCCGCGCCCTGCTGGGGGGGGGGGGGTTTGAACACCCCCCCCTTGCGGTTTTTCGCAAATATCTTCCGCGCCGCCGTTTTTGAGATATTTGCGAAAAACGAAAGATATTTGCGAAAGATATTTTTGAGATAACGGCGGCGCGGAGCGCCGCCGTTTTTGGTACACCTTATCATACATCAATTCTACACATGTTGTGAAAATTTCAGACCAAGGTCATTCAAGGTCAGGTCACCAGGTCACATGAAGTGACCTCACCTCATAAAAAGTTTCAATGTCTGTCATAGCTACACCGAGTGACCGATCGCTTTGAAACTTTCAGCGATTGCTAAGAGTAATAGCATGTACAAAATATATGTCTCAGAATTTTGATATCGATGACCTAAGGTCAGGTCAATTTTGCGACCTCCCCATTATAAGTCAATGGGAGAAAATTGAAATGCGCCTCCTTTGGACGAAAGACATTATAAACACTCCCAAACACTGAATTACAAGTGGTTTAGACACACTGAACATGAAAATGGTGTCCGTGACCCCTGTTTATGCCCTGAGGTCATCTTAGGTCACGAATGGTATCCAACAGTTTTTCGCAAATAACTTTTGATAGAGGCATGCTAGAGCGATGAAAACACCTTAGATGTGTTCAGCTCGACGATACGGATCGACTGATATGCAACATGACCCTTTCCGGTCAGGTCATGACCTTGACCTAAGGTCAAATTTTCAAGCTGAACTTTCAAGGTCAAGTTATAGTTCATTCGATGCGTCTTGACGAGAGGAACACGATGCCGGTAAAAGTAAGCTCGTACAAGGCTTGGGTCAAAAGTTATTGCAGAAAAACTGTTTCCGAAAAAATCGTCTATTTTTGCAGTTTTTGCCCCCTGCAGGCAAAACCGTTGACGTTAGGTCAAATCTGAGAGAATTAATCAGAAAGGGCGTTAATAGGGCTATCGAATGCGGTTTTCCGCGGCGCTGTCGCTCTATTGGTTCCTGAGTTATGCGTTGGCGTCTTGGAAATTGTCGACATTCGACCTGAAAATCGGCGAAATTTTGCCTTCAATGACCTCTGGTGACCTGACCTTTGACCTGACCAAAAAATTGACCGAAGTGATTTCCTCATTATTTTTGACGCTCTTTCGAACGCCGCCTTCCGCGTGTCGCTACGTGGCCCAGGAGCCGAGTTAGAAGGGGGGGGGGTGTTCAAACACCCCCCCCCCAGCAGGGCGTGGAAATCCAGGACCCCCAGCTGGGCGCGGGTTAAGGCTCGACATTGTGTTGTCTACGATTAGACAGCTGATAACTCATTCCCGTACGTCGTAACTATAATGACCTTTGCTTATTGTCACATGTGCGCCGCATTCGCGTTTGTTATCGACGCCTGTTTGCAGGTCAGCCCACTACAGTTGTTATACATATCGAAAAACCGCTAAACTTTTCGTCGAAAAAGGCACTATTCCAGGCCCATTTTTGATTTTTTTGGCGATATTAGGTAAAAACAAAAGCTTCTTATCCTAGGAAAAATAAAATGGGAAATCTTTCAAAGGTGGTACACTACCTTTAACATTTTTCGAGCAATTTATATCAACTCGCCACCCCGTATCAACTCACCCCGGTTTACGGTATTTAAGGGCCCTCTGAGTACACGACAGGGCCCTCTGAGCGCATGAAGGGCTCCCTGATCGCCTGGCGGGGCCCTCTGAGCTACAGAAGAAACTATCTGACCATATAAAGGACCCCTGAACGTTTAGCAGGACTCTCTAACCGACAGAATGGTCCTCTGAACGCATTAAGGGCCCCTGAACGTTTGACGGGTCCCTATGAGCTACAGAAAACCCTTTACGTACACGACGGGGCCTCTCCTCTGAGCGCAGGCAGGGGCTCCTGATTGTTTGACGAGGCCCTCTAAGCCAAAGAAAGAAAATATGAATACACGACAGGGCCCTCTAAGCGCATGAAGAGGCCCTTAATCGCACGTGACGGGCCCTTTGAGCTACAAGAAAACTCTGAGCATATAAAGGGCCCCTGAACGCCTGACGGGGCTCTCTGAACGACAAAAAAGGCCCTCAGCGCTTAAAGGGCCCCTAAACGCTTGACGATCGTCCTATGAACTACAGAAAAGCCCTGAGTACACGAGAGGGCCCTCTAAACGCATGAAAGGGCCCCTGATTCCGTGACGAGGGCCCTCTGAGCACATGATCAAGGCCATGATTGCTTGACGGGGCCCTTTAAAGGTAGTGTGCCAGCTTTCCTGGACCGTATGGAGATAATGGCCCAGATAAGGAGAACCGGATTTTTAGAACTCATCCATACCTTCAAAACTCATGGAAACGTCTTAAATTCTTCAAATTTTGAGTACCCCAGTGCGAAATTCGCCCCGACGGGTTGTCGGTCGTACCCCAACCACATTTCACACCACTATGAACAATAAATGCACACATTGAAATCGCTATTACCGATAGGCCCATCCAATCAAGTTTCGATAAACCCGTTCATCATAATCTCCTGCGGTTTCGAACACACCTGTTAGGTGGTGCGGTAGACCGCACCCAAAGCCAGGGCCCCGGTAACGTGAGGTAGCCGAGTCGGGGCGGCGTGCGCTGACCCAAGCCGGGGCCGCGCGTCCTCCCGGTGTCATGTGATAGCCCGGGGCTGCCCGGGGATGCGGTAGACCGCGCCCAAAGCCGCGGCCCCGGCTTGGGTCAGCGCACGCTGCCCCGACTCGGCTACCTCACGTTACCGGGGCCCTGGCTTTGGGCGCGGTCTACCGCAGGTGGCTTCTGCTCATACTTTGTGGTGCGGTGGTGGTGCGTCGGGCCGCGCGCTCTAACTTCGGCCAAGAAAAATGCGTCAACCGATCATTGTCATTTCTGCCACTTTCATGTGTTGATATGGGGTCATACTCATAACTTTAGAGACGGCTGTTTCATATCAATTATTTTACATAAAATAATATTTCAAACCATAAATTAATGTTCGACAGCCAAATTAAATAAACAATACCAATACAGGCTTACAATTTAAATTTGACATTGTGTTGTCTACGATTAGACAGCTGATAACTCATTCCCGTACGTCGTAACTCTATAAGGACCTTTGCTTATTGTCACATGTGCGCCGCATTCGCGATTGTTGCCGACGCCTGTTTGCAGGTCTGCCCACTACAGTTGTTATACATATCGAAAAACCGATAAACTTTTAGGCGAAAAAAAAAACACTTTTTTAGGCCCATTTTTGAATTTTTTGCGATATTAGGTAAAAACAGAAGCTTTTTATCCTAGGAAAAATAAAATGGGAAATCATTGGAAAGTGGCACACTACCTTTAAGCAACATAAAGGCCCTATGGCTTATGAGTACACGACAGGGCCCTCTAAGCGCATGAAGATACCCCTGATCGCGTGTGACGGGCCCTCTGAGCTACAAGAAAACTCTCTGAGCATTTAAAGGGTCCCCTGAACGTCTGACAGGCCTCTCTGAGCGACAGAAAGGCTCCCAACGCATAAAGGGCCCCTGTACGCTTGACTGACGAGGGCCCATGAGCTACAGAAAACCCTGAGTACACGAGAGGGCCCTTTAAACTCATGAAGGCGCCCTGATTCATTGACGGGGCCCTCTGAGCACATTATAAGGGTCCCTATTCACTTGACGGGAGGGGCTGTAACCTACAAAAAGGCCCTCTGAATACAGGTCAGACAGGCCTTCAAAGGGCCCTACCGATCTGTAGGGGCCTGTTATATCTTTCAATATTGTCCATTTGTTGGCGTTAGTCATTTGACCACTGCTAAAACCTATTTAACGGTTTAACCCTCGCATGTGTGCGGCGTTTGCCAGCTTCTAATGTGTAGGGGGGGGGGGCGGTTGGACCCCCCCCCCCTACACATTGCCGTTTGGCCCCTGATCGAGCTAGAGCTTCGCGGAAAAAACGTGCGTGTTGCCCGTGACGAGAGGAAGCCGATGATACCCCATTTTAAGGTCCTAGGTCATTGGTTGACCTTCCAGGTCAGGTCAATGTCCCAAAGTCGGGAAAATCGGGACCTGTTAGAAAGTCGTTAAGTGTGGCTGCTAAGGGTTTTTTTTTCGGGGTGCTGATCACGAATATCGTGTTAGTTTTGATCATAGATGATGTCTTCATGCATTTAGACCAGGTCGGGTCAGGTCAGGTCAGGTCAACCAGTAGGGGTCGTGACGGGATTTCGTAGTACGTGTCAACCGTCTCTGACAGCTTCGTAACATGTTCGAAGGCACCAAAACTACTTCGTAAATGTTCAAATGGTTGCTAAATTCGAATTCAGCTAAAAAAACTAGCCTAGAAACATGTAAAGCTCAAAGAGGTGAACCGAGGTCACCAAAGGTCGGTGACCTGACCTGACCTTCGGTGACCTTGACATCCACCCAAATGCATGGGAGCGACATCAAATCTCATGTTTGAGCGTTTGAAAACCACGAGAAGCTTGCAAACGCGCGGTTAATGCGAGCCGACATACGCCGAATCGCGATTCCGGCCAAACATGGCCTCGAGAAATATGTCACAGGTCAAAGGTCACTTGGGTCAGGGTCATGAAATTTTCAGAGGAGGTGTAAAGTTGATCAACTCGAAGGAAATGAAGGTTTCGCGTCGCGATCGGCCGCTTTTTGCGCGAGTTATTCGCGAAAAACCATGGGGGGTTCCATCCGACCCCCCCCCCACATGCGAGGGTTAAGAGGGCCATGGCACGACTACGAAAAAAAATCTTGAAAATGTTCAGACTGGCTTTTTCTCCGACTTTTCTTCGACGACTTTTCTCCGACGGTTCTCCGACCGATTAATGTATGGGGTAAAAGTTTAAAACGCTCCAGTAGCCCATGGGATGTTTACCTATGTGTTGTTCGTACCATCCACTTCCTAATATTCTCTCTCTCTCTCTCTCTCTCTCTCTCTCTCTCTCTCTCTCTCTCTCTCTCTCTCTCTCTCTCTCTCTCTCTCTCTCTCTCTCTCTCTCTCTCTCTCTCTCTTCTCTCTCTCTCTCCCACTCTCTCTCTCTCCCACTCTCTCTCTCTCTCACTCTCTCTCTCTCTCTCTCTCTCTCTCCCACTCTCTCTCTCTCGACTCTCTCTGCCACCGGGCACGGCGCCGCCCACCCGTGACCAGCGGCCTCCCGGTGCCGCGTCAGTGACTCGTCGGCCTCCGGGCAGCGTGGACGCCGGCCGCCACACCACCGCGCTGCCAGTCTGAGACGTGCGGTGCGCGCCCGGTAGACAGGTTGAAAACGTTTGTTTGTGCCGCCGCCATAGGTTTTGGTAATTGGTGTGCAGGAGTGAGCGGGCCGCGGTGGTGGGGTCTCAGTCTCGGCTGCAGTGGCTGGTGATTCGGTGCGATCCAGTGATTGTGCGGTGCAGCCAGGGTGTGCGGCGGTGCAGCCAGGGTGTGCGGCGGTGCAGCCAGGGTGTGCGACGGTGCAGACGGAGCTGGTCGGCAGTCCAGAGGCGCGGCGCCACCCAGCCTTACTAACAACGGGTGAGAATAAATAATCTAAGCTGCGTTGCAGCATTGGCGGTGGTATGCGGCGTGTAGGTATGCCGCATTCTTAGTAAAATGCGATCACTGAAATAAAGACACTTAACCGCAATTTATAATATGTTTTCAATGAATAGCAATGCACATTTTCAATGTCAATTGCTTTGATCAGAAGATATTTAGATTCAAATTCCCATTCTAGAACGCTCATGGGGAGGGGGGGGGTTGCCAGTTGGCAGTTGCCACCCCCCCCCCCCCCGCGCAATTTCGTTCATGCTGGAGATCAAGCTTCGCGGCAAAGACCGAAATATTTTTTTTGGGGGGTGAGGGGAGAGACGAATCCAATGGTACCCAATTTTACCTCATTAGGTCGATCATTGACCTTCCAGGTCAGGTCAAACTAAAAAATGTTGTTGTTTGGGGCCACCTTGCAATATCACGTGCGGTGCCAATCATATACCGATGGCGCTGCCGTTTGTTGTGCCAAGCCAGCTAGAACAGCTCTTTGTTACACTATCCGACTAGGTTTTTACTGCTGTGGTCATTTCAGCCCAAGCTAGGTCAAGGTCAATGATATGTGTTTGCATGTCTGTGTGAGTCTGTGTGTAAACTGATGTGTGCGCCGATTGTTTTGTGTGTCCCTATTACATGTGATCATGATCTGAGAAGCTGTCACCAAAAATGCAGTCAAAAAACTTCACGAAAAGTAGTTTCAGCAAGCCTAAAATGCAATGTTTTTAGATGACCTAGGTTGATCTTGACCCTGACCCTGACCTCTGCACATCGTCAAATAACATGTTCCATGATAGGTGGGAGGTAAGACTAGCAAAAACATACCGAAATCAAGGTGTCAAAAGCTCACAAGACCAGGGGTGCGGAGCCGGAGCCGGAGCTGGAGCCGGAGCGGCCGGAGCCGGCATATTTTCCCGAAGCCGGAGCCGTCAAAAAAGGGAGCGACTCAGGCTCATTTTTTGAAGGGAAAAAAATGATTGACCTAGTTCGGTTTGACAGTACAAGGCAGTAAGACATGTGGTATTCAAAATATGAAAATGGTCTTGTTTTGCAAAAACAGAAGCAATGTGTACCAATTCCATCGTCTTTTTTTCTTCCACTTATTCCACTAATATCTAATTGCATAGGGGATGTATATACTGAGTACTGGAACCGGAACCAGAGCCGGAGGCGCCATTGCATTCCTCGCTTACCAGGATAATTTTCCAGCGCCGGGCAGGGCACCCAAGTGTAGTAGAGTCGGTTTCGACATATGCAAATCTGTTTACGGGCAATTTTGTTTGTATTTGTTTCGTTTGAGTTTTAACCCGCGCCCCACTGGGGTCTGCGTATAACACGCCCTACTGGGGGGGGGGGCTCTTCATAGCCCCCCTCCTAACTCCGAAACTACTGGGCCGATCGTCAAAATTCAAACGGCGTCTGATAGCCCCGGAAAAACTGTCGAGCGAAACCTAGTTTCATTGACCTCGATGTCACCGATGACGTCACAGGTCAGGTCATAGTAAAAATTATTAGCATTTTGGCTTATTCACGTTTTGGGCTCTGGCCGCCGTCTTACAAGTCAGATTAGGCTCATTTTTTGTTCACACACTCGTGAACAGATGCTCTAGATACCCTGAGGGTACCAAACTTGTACTTTGATTTTCAGGTCAAGGTCAGGTCATCACAGGTCACGAAAATATTATATCATGCGTCGGTCACGTGACACATGTTTTATGGTCCATTTAGGCCAGCAATTTACAATTTGCTGTCGTCTGTGTCATTCGAGGTCATTTTGAGTCAAATTTAGCTTGGGTCAGGTCACTTTCAGGTCAAAAAAGGTCAAATTTGAAGTTGAAATTTTTCAACAAAAAAGGTAGGTATCTATTAGATGCAGTTTGAGCTCAGGAACACGATGGTGCTATTTATATTGGCGTACGATGTCAAATACGTGCTGAAAAATTGATTTGAGAAATTGATAATTGTGAATTTTTTGCAATAATGCGTATAACTTGGCCATTTTTGAAGATATTTAGCTAAAACTTGCTAGAGTTAGTCATAATAATGCGTTCTATCACATATATTCTGTTTTTTTTTTTCGAAAAGTCAATTTTTTTTCTGAAAAAAATATAAAAACATAAATTTTGAGTTTTATCATATAAAATTTTCGAAATCTTCAAAATTTTGAAAATCCGATATAGCAGTTTGATAGCGCGATCTATTTTGAGTCTCTAATGCAAAGAAATTGGATCTAGCTTAAAAACTGAGCTCTTGGGAGCGATTGCCGTGGTTCAATGTTTTGCGTCGAAATCGGCCGAACATGACGTCACTCTGACGTCATTTCCGGCCGACCTATGAAAGCTACGAAGTTCATATTTTGACACAAAGTGTCAAATTGATGCAGCCGAAGGTACTGAAAGTTTGGCGTCGATACGTCAAGCGGTTTGGAAGTTATTGCAGAAAAACGGGAGGGGGGCTATGAATAGCCCTCCCCCAGTGGGGCGCGGGTTAACCCTGGCGAGCAGTTCTTACCTTACCTTACCTTACCTTAGTTGGTGCATTGGTTTTTCATGCTTCTATCACGCGCGCTTTTGCTCGTCTCGGCTGGGTAGTGTACTACGTGTACTACGCCCAATGCACGTAGCTCACCCGCTCCGTTTGATTTTCCATCGCTCAGGGCATGGTTGGGAGCTGCCGGCGCTCGGGCTGTTCCCGGACTGATCTGTAGAATTCTTTCGGTCGCCATATATGCCAGGCGCATATTATGGGCCACGGCTCACAGCTAACGTCTCGTAGTTTGCAGTTTGCAGCGCATATTATACATAAAACATCTCACCGACACACCGTTTCCGTCCGGTCTTGCTCGGTTTCATGTGCCCGGTGATTCTGACTTCGGGGGGGGGGGGGGGTATCGACGTTTCTGCTCCTCCGGGTTTGGTCTATCCCATTATCGGCGGCCGTTCGGCTTTAATGCAAAGGTCACAGCTCCCCGCTCCCAGCTCGGTTATATACGTTTAGCTTGCTCGCCCACTGTTCCCGGGGCATTGCTACGTCCCCGATGGATGACAAGTGGCTGGAGGGACATTCTTTGGGAGGGATGACAAGTGTACTACGTGTACTACGCCCAATGCACGTAGCTCACCCGCTCCGTTTGATTTTCCATCCAGACGTCCTCCAGACCAGACGTCCTCTTTCGTCTCCATTTTAGGTTCACACAGTTCCGTTCGGTTTGGTTCACGTGGCAATAGTGCTACTTGTCATGGGGTGCGGTTGGCTGGGTTTTTGGTCTGGAGCTGGAGCCTGGTCCGGGTGCAGGTCGGTCGCCTGGTCCGGGTGCAGGTCGGTCGCCTGGTCCGGGTGCAGGTCGGTCGCCTGCACTGCACGTGTCGTTTCAGGCTGCACCGCTGCACGTCACTGCCACCCGGAGGACGCCATGGTCCCACCGAGACGGCAGGATCAGATGCCGGCTCGCTTTGTTTCGCCGCTGGTTGGTGAGCTCGTGCCGTCGTTGTATGTAATTCCAGTGCGGAGTGCAGCGTTTCCAACAGTCAACTTGACCCGAGTTCCGGGGGGGGGGCTGGGGGAAGGGCGTGGGGAGTCATCTCCTGCAGCCGCGGAGACAATGGCCGGGGGCAGGCCCACTGCCCACTTTGATAGCAGTGCATCTCGTCCGGCGACGCTGCGAAGAGGCCTCGGGTCGCAGCGCAGCGGCGGATCGGTTGTCGCCCCCGAACTCGGCCGGCGCAGCAGGGGACCGGGGGGGGGGGGGGTTCCGCCTGCACCAGGAGTCTCTGTGGGCGAAATCTATACTTTGCACCTCGTGATTGTTCGAATACGTAACGCGGGCTCAGGTTGGCCTTCCGCTCTCGGTTACCCCTAATTCACCAAACTCGCTGCTCGCCTAATTCATCCCACTCACTGCTCACAGCTCTCAGCCCTCAGCTCTTAGCTCACAGTGAACAGCACACAGCTCTCAGCACTCAGCTCTCAGCGTTAATTCTCAGCTCTCAGCTCACAGCTCTCAGCGCACAGCTCTCAGCAATCTGCTCAAGTGCTCACAACTCTCAGCGCACAACGCCCAGCTCTCAGCGCAGCTCACAACGCTGAGCACACAGCTCCCAGCTCTCAGCTCCCAGCTCTCAGCGCCAAGCTCTCAGCGCCAAGCTCTCAGCACCCAGCTCTCAGCGCGCAGCGCCCAGCTCTCAGCGCAGCTCACAGTTCACAGCTCTTAGCACACTGCGCTCAGCTCTCATCGCACACCTCACAGCTCACATCTCTCAGTTACCACTTCACTAAACTGTAAACTGTAGAACTGTAAACCCACGGCTCACAGTTCACAGTTTTCAGACATCAGCTCTCAGCGCCCAGCTCTTAGCGCGCAGCGCCCGGCTCTCAGCACCCAGCTCTCAGCGCAGTTCACAGCTCACAACTCTAGCACACAGCGCCCAGCTCTCAGCGCCAGTGGCGGCGCCACGAATTTTCGACAGTGGGGGCAACCTTGAGGTGACCCGACTGTTGTCTGATACACCAATCTGCAAAATCCATGAGCACCTTGCCCCTAGATGCTGCCATTCAAAACTATAATGGTTTCAGGTTGCATGCATACGTATTGAGCTTAACCCTCGCGGGCCTGGAAGGGGTGGGGGCGTTTTTTGCCTCCCCCTGGCGAATGTTTGCGATACGTCATACCAACTTGGTATTTGGAATTTCAAGGCAAAAATATTTGGTATTTTGTTGGTAACATGAACCCTCGGTAATGTAAAAGAGGTTGTGAATTTGGTTAAAAGTTAGTATTTCCCTCATATTCCTAAATTGGTTTAGTTTTGGTATTTTTCCATGGCTAATGTTGGTATTTGGTTTGGTATCGGTATCTCGATTTGCCGTAATTGACATCATTAGTTGACACGTCTCGTCTAAATGCTTGAAGACATCATCTGAGATCAAAACTAACACAATATTCATGATCAGCACCCCGAAAAACCCCTTAGCAGCCACACTTTACGACTTTC